GGTATGGCAAAAGAACCCTGAAGACCTGCATATGGAATACCTGGCCAATACACCAGTTTCAGACTGTGAAGCAGATGATGAAGACACTGCAGTCTTCAAGCCAGTCTTCTCAAAAGTCACAGAAGACCAAGTGGCTCTTACTTCTGTGGAAGCAGCAGTTGAGGATTTCCAAACATTTCCGGAAACCTCACCTGCCTTCGAAACGGAAACCTCACCTGCATTTCAGGTAACTTCTCATGCTTCTGAAATGGTTCTAACTGAAGTTGTTCAAGAGAAGGCAACTTCTCCCCCACAAGAACAGAACCAGGAAACAGCAGCAGAAGAAGAAATTCAGCAACTAATCCAATCTCAAGTTTTAGAGACTCTCACAACTCCTGGTGAGATCTCCAATTATACAGAAACTGAGATCCCGGAGAAGTCAGCAAAAATTCCAGAACAGTCAGCTCTTCCAGAAACAATAGAGCAAGCTGTTGAAGTGCAAAGGAACTCTGGAGAAGCTGAAAAGGAAACTCAAATGGCAGAAGTGGAGGTTTGTCAAACTCCAGTAGCCATTTTTGAAGACCAGAATAAAGATGAAGAAAGAGACTCCCTTTCTAGGGATATATCAAACTTTGCGCTTGATGAAGCAGAAGGTGAATCTGAAAGAACATTGAAGGTCACTGATGAAGAAGATGTACAAGAAGATGCTGAATCTCTTCCTATGCAACTCTTCCAAAGTACACCATCTTCTCATCAGGTAACCAACTTTCATTTTCATAGCTCTTCCACTCATACCCTTCTGGATGAGATACCGGAAATCTGGACAAAGAAGGTCCAAGGGCTGATTGAATCAGCCCTAGCATCTCAACATGCCTCCTTTAGGCAAGAGATAGAGCAAATGGAAGCCAAGAACACTCAACTGCTAGAGAAATCAGAAAAGAAACACAACGCAGATCTAAAGGAGATAGGTACATCAGTAGACAAGACTCTAGAGATCATCTCTCTATTGAGTAATACTGTGAGCAACACTATGGAAATATATGCCTCTGATAGTCAACTTCAATTCAAAGAATTCAACAAAATCAAAGAGCAGATAGCGAGTGTCACAGTTGGTCTACAAAAACAGATGTCTCTTCTCCAAATGGAC